GAATTTTTATTCTTGGCTTGTAATATAAATTTGCCTTGAATCAAGCAGTGTTCGTTTTGATCCAATCCAAGTAAATGAAGCCTAGGTTTTTCTTGGTCGGACGCTTTTTTGGGTTTGGTTCAGCCGAGGTGGAAATTTTCTTATTTCAAGCCAATTTGGCTTGGTCTAAGAAATCTTTTTTCTGGGTGTGCACTGTGGGGTGGCCTACCCCGAGCCTCGCAGGCGCTGAGCACCCGTCATTGGGGATGAACCTCGGTCAGCGGTGATTTTGTTGGTTGGATTATCTGTCGTTTTCCCACTTTTTTCTCTAAACTTTTATCGGCGTTCGTCTCACTAGCTCGCTCGCGTGGTTTGGTCACTACTCACGTAGTATTCCGCCTGGGGGTTGTAGCCCACGATGGTGTAGGTGAAGGCGTACAGTAAGGCCCCGACGCCGGGCACCGAGTGCAGCATCGAGCCCAGCCTGCGGAAGAGCCGGTACACCAAGCTCATGGTGTGGTGGAGGCGCAACCTGTCCAGCAGGGCCTGAAAACCATATCATGTAATGTAATACGCGTTCAAATTTGGCGCTGTTTTCAAACTTCCTTCAAAATTGACTTACCGTTGTCACGTTGTTGAGGCCTTGGAGAACGCCGACGAAGGGGCTGCGGTGGTGGTGCAGGGGCCCGGCGGGCGCCATGAGGTGCGCGGCGAGGATCTTGTCGTTGTACTCGGGCCTCATGGAGGCCATGATCATGAAGGACGTGGAGCCCATCGAGTGCGACACGTACACGAGCGAGGGGAAGCCCGTCCGCTCGAGCACGAAGTCGATGACGGCGGGGTTATCGTAGACGCCGTGTTCGTGGAAGCTGCGGGCGGTGAAGAGGGTCGCGCCATTTAATTTGGTGGCTAAGAAACCCCACGCACTTACGTTGTTGTGCCTCACCGCATGCGTGAGCGGGCGTGGGTGAGTATGGGCGGGGATTGTCAGACAACTGGGGATGTGATGTTTTCAGCCGGACACGTTTTGAGAATGGGCTGGTCCGAGACACAGAGCATGAAGACTGCCATTATAATTACAGTAAAGTGCGAGATTGGCAGGAAATGTTGAGGGCAGTAAAGAGGTAGTGGGCTCAGGCCATAAAGTAGGAAAATTATTGTGGCTGTCACAGATGTGTTTTCTTTTTCCCCGCTCTATGTTGGAAAGGCTTAACAGCACGGGCTTTTGCATCGTTTTGCATACAACAACCGTGCGTCTTGTCCACGAAAAGGAGAGGAGGTGGAGATAGTAGCTTTGTGTATGCTCATCCCTGTGAGCACAACAAGTCCATTTTTTACCCCGTCGTCCTCCCCAAAAAAGAAGAACACGTTTTATCCGAGCTATGTCAATAACAATAGGAACACGTTGACGCCTCTATCAGGTATTTGCGAAATGACTCGATTCTGGTTCTCTTTTCTATCAGCGCATGTCTCGCGTTGCTGTTGTCGGTCGATCGATAAGGAGAGAAGATGGGGATGGGGGGGGGGGGGGGGGGGGGTACCTGAACTTCCAGAACTCCTCGCTGTTCACCGAGAGGTTTCTGTGCCCCGTGGAGTAGTGGGTGCCCCGGTAGTTGAGTAGCCACACGTCGTACCCGGCGTCGTAGAGCATCGTGGCTGGAAGTTGAAGGGGAGACAGTCATGAGCACCATGTCAGATTACCCCCCCCCCCCTTTTTCACTCTGAAAATCGGAAAGATTCACACAGTCATGTCGCACGAGACATTATTGTCGTGGAATTATTTCCTGGAGAACTCCACCGTATGTCAACAAAGTTGATGGAAGCACTCACCGAGGGACTTCTCCTTGCCCGTGAGCAAGAAGCACGGCGACGCTGTCTGCATGCCGTGCGCCAGCAGCAGGGGCTGGCGGCGCCCGCCGCCGCTGGGGGGCGCGACGCGGTTCAACTGCAGTCGGTAGCCGTCCTCCGTCCACAGGAAGTGCGTCTCGGCGGGGTAGCCGTACGCCCTGAGGATGTCGGCCTGGGCACAGTGCGTCGATGTGAGTAAAGTGGTCTAGCACGGTGTGGTCACGGTCACGGGGTCAAGGTCAGGCCCGTGCCCGGCCGCCCGTCCGTCCTGTCATCGCGCTGATTCACCGCATGTGATAGTGAAGCCTGCTGCTGCTGGTTTGAAGCCGGTCCATCGGCATTTTTGGCGCGCAGCTGGGGGAGGCGGGCGGGTGCGGGTCACAGCACAGCGACACTCACACTGTACCGACTCTTGGCGGGACGCCCGCCGGGCCGGGCCTTCCTGCTCGCATTTCTGCGCGCGCGCGCGCGTTTCCAGGCGGCACAGTACAGTCCGCACCAAACCTGCTCTCCGATATACGCCCGACCTTGGAGAGCCGCAAAAATATGAGCAGCCGACCCATCCAGGTAATGAGGTCCGACCCGCTGCGCCTCCGCTGCACGCGCGGGCCGCCGGTGTTGGTGTGGAGTACGGCACCCAGCCTAGAGCCTAGCGCGGGCCCGGAATCGCCGCGGATAACGACAACGTGGGAGGACTGACTGTAACCCGCCGAGGCGGAAGGGACAACACAGCGCCGCGGCCACAGCAGTGACGCGCGCGCGCGCGGTAGCCCGGGCCCAGGTGGGCCTCAAACTAATGCCAGAATGATGGCAATGGCAATCATAATTGACATAGAAGGTACCGCGTAGGAAGGTAGGAATTCGGATGCCATTGTGGCATTGTAATAAGAGTCAGTAGGGTGAGGGGGAGGGGGTTAATCCAAAAGGCACTTCACTAAAAAAAAGGGGGTACACCCTCAAAAAAAAAAATCAGAAAAATCGGGTAAAATACAGGAAAATCAATTTTAACAATCAAAAAAATCGGAATTCTTCAACAAAATTAGAAACAAAAATGTAAATAAAAACAAGAGAAGAAAGACATAAGAATCGGTGTACGCTTGAATGGAAAACTTGCCCAGAGAGACGGAGCAGAAAGCAGATAGCACAACACGAAAACCACACTATGCGGCAAGAAAGAAGTATTTGATATGGTTTCAATCAGTGTGCAGTCTATGACATCTATGCGTTCACAATCACATACCATATCAAGTAGGTTATGGTGCTTTGTTTTGTTTCCTACTACGCTCCGCCACTCTGGGCAAGTTGTCCGTTTATGGATATTATAGCTCAAATTACTCACCGATGTCACGTCCTCGTTCAGGGGGGGCATGATCTGCATGGCCCTGCTCATGGCCTGCGTGGGCGAGGCGGCGGAGGTGGCCAGGTCCAGGAGGGCGTCCATGGTGTCGCGCACCGCCCGCGGTGGGCTGGGCAGGCCCGGCAGGCCGGCGCGCACCCGCTGCAGCAGGGAGGCCAGCGAGGGCAGCGGGGGCGCCGTCGGCGGCGGGGAGGCCGAGGCCACGAGCCCCGCGCTGAACGGCCACAGGCAGAGCGTGGCGAGCAGCAGCGCGGAGGGCGCGCCGCCGCCGCCGACCGCCCCCGCCAGCAGCGCCGCCCCCAGCGAGCGCAGCGTGCGCCACTGCCACCGCAAGAGCGCCAACACCACCATGACCTGCACGAACGCGACACAGCGCGACGAGACGTAAGTTCGGACGGATCTCTCGGCTCCAGCCTGCCAGGGGAAGGGGTGTGTTCCGCAGGGGGCAAAAGGGGCGGTCGCCTCTTCCTTGCCAGTCTCTGATCGGACACAGCCCAAGCACTGGGCAACTCTGGCGCGGTAGTGCGCGTCTAAGAAGGCAACCCCTTACCTCCCACGGGACATCCCAAGGAAAACGTTTTTCTCGCGAAGACCTCATTGTGACCTCTGAGGTCACGATTCCTTGCACTTGTGAGGTCACCAGTGAGGTCACAAGTGCAAGAATCGTGACCTCGTAAGTCAAAAAGAGGTCACAGTCGCTTTCCTCGGTCTCAATCACCCCTTTATCGCTGAACCCGCCCCTGCCACGGGCCCGGGGCCCGGGGTCCGGGGCCCGGCTCGCTCACTCACCGCCGTGTCTATCGCTACACAGTTCAGGTCCTGGTGCCTCTGCGGCTGTGCCTCAGGGCTGGCCCGCCTGTCCAAGTGCCCGACGGTGTCCGATCTGATCCCGGACGTCCACTCTGCACCGCCGCCCGCCCCGCTCTGGGCGCGCTCCCGGCCGGCTCTCTATCTCTCGGCCGATTCGCCTTGCCCGGCGGGCTGGCCCGGCTGGCCGCGGGCTGGTCGCTGGACCCCACGCGGCCGAGACGAGGCTTCCCGCGGGCCGCCCGTCGTAGAGAAGATCGCGGACCACCTGACCACCTGCGCCGCGGCCGGACCTTCCCCAACGTGCGCCAACATGCGCATCGTGGGTCATCATTGTGGTTTTTCTGAGAGATCATTCTCATCGAGTCGGGTCAACGGTCACGAAACACGAAACGGCCACTGCAGTGGCTTGCAATCGGCGATCCGGGGGGGGGGGGCCGCTATCGAGATAAACGCGGCCGGGTCCCTCTCGCCGCGCGCCGCTGTTTGGACAGCTGTGTGTGAACGAACAAATCGGCGAGCGCGCCCCACAACATCATAACGCTGAAGACAAGTGAAATCCTCCGATAACCAACAAAAGTTTAAGTTTAGACTCAGTGGCCTACTGCTTGCTTACCGCTGAATCGGCGCACGCCACCGGAGTATTGGGATTGGGGGGTTGCAGTTCGGCGCTCGCGCCAAAGTTGCCTTCGTTATAGCCAACCTTTGCGTAATGCAATCCACAAGATGGAAGTTACGACAAAGCGCTTCCGATGAATGAAATATGACAGTTTTATCATAAATATAAGCTTCAGTACTAAAATACAGTAATTTTGCTTCCCTGGTAAACTTTTTTCTTGCCTCCATCTTCTTTTTCGACTGTTTTTTTTATGCCCCTCTTGTCTTGTTGTCTGCTTCTGCTTGTTGATTTTCTTGTTGTTTGTTTTCGTTTTAAGTCATCTTCTTGTTATTATCTTGAACTCAAATCACCTTAACAGAATCAATACATCTCACGTGCTGTGTTAAAACTCCAGTGATTTACTTTGATATTTCTCCCTTTATCTTTCCAGGTAAGAGCATCGTTAATGTCGATCTATATTTCTATACTTTTCTCTTCTGTGTTGGTTATTAGCTGCACTATTCAGCCGGGAAATCGATCATTTTATGAAATTCACCAACAGTTTTTCGCACTTTTAGCAGTTCTATACGTTTTCGTTTGATTGAGTTGTAGAACATAGTAACACGAGGATTAGTGATGTGTCAGGACTTGCCTGCAAATTAAATCCGTAGTGATGAGCCAGTCTAGGTTATGTGTTATCTACTGTTTAAGCCCTGATATTGTGAATAACATAATAACTTGCTATCATGTCTTCATGTTGACAGACTCTGATCATCTTAAATCATGGAAGTAGTTTCAGATGAAGACAATGCAAGCGAAAATCACAAGGTAGTGAAGAGACTTTATTTTTCGCCAACTGTTTTCTTATTAGATTCGGTATCTCAGCTGTGTCTTATATTTTCCCTTTTTGTCATAGATTACTCTGATGGATTTGCCAGAGACTGTTTTGCTGCACATCTTGAGCTATTTTGACCACAGCTTCTTACGATTTGTAGCACCCAAAGTGAGCATTGCCTTCAGGCACTTGTCACGCTCGCAATCACTTTGGTCACAAGCTACCCTAACATTCACAAGCCAGGACACCTGGGAGGAAAGCATCAGTGAAAAATTTATCAAGCAAGTTATTTCAATAACTCTTTTCATTGTTTTAACACAACAGTAGAATAGTTGAATATTGTACTTTGACTAAAGAATTTTTCATCTGTTTGTTTACAGGGAGCTCAAAGTGACGCCATATCTTAGACATTTAAATGTGTCATATGTGGATGACATGCCTGAGGTGGAATCGGCTTTAGTAGCTACTCGATGCAGAATTCAAAGACTGTCTCTGCATGTAGAGCAATACAATCCTCAATGGATATTAATGCTTAAAAGACATCCAGAAATCAAAGAACTTGAACTAACTGACAATGCAGTGGATAACGAATCTTCCGCAGGGTAATGGTTCTAATGGTTTTTAAATAAGCCAAAATATTTTAATTATATGTAAGCTGCTCTGTAAAAAAACACATCTTCATTGTGTTGTATTCTCTTACAGTTTGGCTTTAGTTGTTGGCACTATGGTTCCCCGACTTGTTTACTTACACCTTAGCCAGTCACGTCTCTTACGGATGCCAGTAACAGGACTTCTCCTGTCATCAGCCTCTCACCAAGGTATGCAACATTGTCTCCACCTGTAGGCTCGTGTTACGTGCTCATTCTTTCAAAGCAAGACATTGCTAACACAGCAGAACCTGTAAATTATACAATTCATTAGCATAACTAATCTACAAAACTGTAATAATGCCACATTACTATATCTTGCAGGTGAAATTCCCATCAATAAGTGCTCTGAGTGGGCCCCGTCCGACCAAGCCAGCCACCGCCCGGCAGGGAGCGAGCCCCCCGTGAGCGACGTGGAGGCTATGGACGTGGACGACGGCCTGGACCTCGAGGAGGAGGGTGAGAAGGCCCTGCGCCAGTCCCAGCGCGGGCTGCAGCGCCTGACGTACCTGCCGTTCGATTCGGTGTTGCTCGGTGCGAACGAGGAGTGGGAGGAGGCGGACGTCGTGTACTCGGCCGGGGCCGCTGCGTCCCTGGCCGCCCTCATCCTGGGGAACTGCAACTCACTGCTGGACGTGCAGGTCGACTTGCCGCGCCAGGAGGTGTACCAGGCGCTGGCCAAGTGCACCCGCCTCAAGGTAACGCTTCAGGCCTGAGCCCCACCTCAGCCCTCCCTCCCTCTCCCCCGGAAGAGCTTTGGAACTAGGGTGCGTGACGCCTTGGTGTTCCCTTGCTGTTTCAGAAACTGTCGGTGAAGTGCGACGTCCGCGCCGAGGGCGTGCGCGCCATGCTGGAGGCCATGGCTCAGACGGGCATGCGCACCCTGGTGTCGCTGCGCCTGGTCGCGCCGACCACGCTGGAGGCCAAGGACCTTTCGGACCTGGTGCAGACCCTGGGCCGGCTCGAGGCCCGCCTGGACGCCCTGGAGCTGGTGGGCGCCGCCTCGTGCAGCGCGGCCACGCCGCTCACGTTCCCGGGCTTCTCGCCGTTCTCCGGGCTGCTGCTGGACTCGCCGGGGCGCAGCGAGCCGCCCTGCCTGCGCGTGCTCCGCCTGGACGACATGGCGCCCGTGGGGCGGCTGGAGGTGGCGCAGCTGGCGCACCTGGTGCGCACCTCGGAGGCGCGGCCCGTCGCGCCCCGCCTCTCGCTGCGGCGCCTCGAGCTGGCGGACTGCGTGTGCAGCCAGGACCGCCTGTTCCAGGACTGCCGGGACCGCGCCGAGGAGGTGCTCAAGCGGGCGGTGCCCGACCTCGAGATGGTCGTGTCCAACCGCTGGCTCGGCTACGACGACCGTTTCGACGTCGGCTTCATGCCCCTCAACACCTGCGACTGCGAGAGGCGCGCCCCGCGGCCGCCGCCGCCGCCCGACCAGCGCAGGGGGAAGGCGCGCCAGGCCAGGGGGAAGACCGGCGGGCGCTAGCGGCAGTGCGCCAGTGACCTCTCCTCATGGGGACAGCCAATCAATGACTTATAATGAAATTTAGGTTTAAACTAAAGTTAACATACATAAATTATATGTAATCCAAATTGGATTCCTAGGACCTAGAAATTAAGTAGCAATTCTTTTATATACGGTATTTACTTATGTTCAGTTTTCTCTCTGTGGTCTAAGAAATTTTTTTGTTTATCATTTTCTACCCGAAAGGATTATTTTTGGGTTTTCTATAATTTTTCATTGAATTGAACCAAATCTACGAGATACGTCAAAGTATCTTCGTATTGGTACCCAAAATCTGAGGTAGCTTTTGAGCTGTGTCACAAAGTGTCCAGATTGTCCTTTTTTCAGTTTTTATTGTTTTTGTTATAAAAACTGATTCACTCAATGGATTTATGGCAACAAAGCAACATCTTCATGTACTGTAAACTGGGGTAACTTTAGCCCATGGGGGTAACTTTGCCCAGGGCCTGAAGTTGTGTTTAAAATCCTACTACGGTGCTGCAGTTTTCACTGTAGCTAGCGGTGAATTCACTGCAGAGTATTTTAGGCCCTGGGCAAAGTTACCTCGGTGGGCCAAATTTACCCCAGTTTATGGTATTCCATAAGAAAACTAAGACACTGATCTCTGTTGCACTTTCAAGTGGCATTCTGTACAATATATGCACAACCACATCCTCCAGTACTCAAAATCAAACCACTCATCTTGAATCTTAACATTATCCTCCTTCAAAACCTGTTGAGGAATAGATCCATGTGGGATACATCAGGGTTCATGGTGATGGTGTCTAAAGGGGTTGATTCATTTTTGGCTGTGATTTAGAAGAGTTACGATAGTTCTGTATGTGTTTATCAATGTTTCTTTGTAATGTTCTCATAGTATCCCTAACATTACTACTATTATCAAACAAGTACAAATTTGGATGTTGATGTCATTCTTCTGTATTGTTTACTGTGTTGTTATTCCTGTTATTATATGTTTAAAAATAATTTGTCACTTTTACTATGTAAACATATTCCAAATGACTTTTGATACCATGTTAATTAAGTGTGCATTAATCAATAGTTAGTTTTGTCCATAGTATAACACATTGTCTTGATTATTTTTGATTATTTGACTGTTTTACTTCTTTATAGATATATGTAGGAAACAATATGTTCCCAGAACTTCTAAGGGAATGCTAAATTCAGTCCTTTTTCTCATCAATCATTTAATGAGGACATACATTGTGTAAATCATGTGTCATGTTCGTGGGTGGCCAGCCCCCTTTGGAGCAAATCGGTATACTATCCAACATGCAGGCCTGTCAGAGGCGTCGCCTGAGGACACGGAGCCGAAAGCGTGCAAACCCGATAGGCTGCATACATTCGCTCCCAAGGAGCCTGGCCGCTCAACACCATAAGCTCTTCCTAACTTTTCTCTCGAGGAAGGGCGACTCCTGTTATACTCCCTTATTGACATTAAAACACATTCTCTCCTCAATAGACAAATAAATCTGTTGGTAGTATAAAAATGATTTTTGACTTATGTTTGAACGCACCTGTATCTATTGACTCAGCAGTTACAGGGCTATTACGACATTAGGTTTCTGGCTTAAAGCGGATACGCTTTGTCATGCAGCTGTTCAAGCGTTAAGACAAATGTTGTCACTCACAGTTACGAACACCTTCGCGCAAATGTATGAGAGGTGCAAAGTCCTCAGGGAAAGGTACGTAGTTAGGGAGGGGGTAGCATAGGTGCAACACGAGATCGAAAAGTATTGATAAGCGCTGGGTGGGTGCCGACCACACACACTCCCGCTCAGTGTCCGAAACACTGCAGTGTGACACAGTACAAACTGCCATGTCGCTGAGAGACGTTCAAGGCATCCTGCTCCTCGCAGTAGCGGCCCTCGGTTTCCTCAGCGCCGAGGTGCCCGACTGGAACCCGGACTGCATCCAGGAGCCGGTCGGCTTCGGCAGAGGGACCGTGGGTGGCGAGGGCGGCGAGGTCGTGTACCCCAAGAACCTCAACGCGCTCAAGAACTACCTCAAGGATGACGTGCCGCGCATCATCGTCCTCAACAGGACCTACGACTTCACCGGCTGGGAGGGCAGTGTCACCAAAGCCGGCTGCTTCTTCAGGAAGTGCGGCGAGGGCTTCCAGTACTCGCTCGACGAGTCCGACACCTGCGTTGGCCGTGAAATGACCTCGGTAAGACCTCATTTATCGACTGCAGTTGCAGTTATTTCATAGCTGAAAACGGGTGTGTAAGAGAAGGGGCGTGCCATCTATCCCCGAATCCTCCTGGGTGTGGGGGAGGAGGAATCACCCCTGCTCGTCGAATCAGCCCCCACCAGTCCACTGCTCGTGAGATATGTGTCAAGCAGCTGAATGCGTGTTGCAGGTGACGCTCGACAAGACCGGCCCCACGCCCCTCAACGTGGGCTCCTACAAGACTATCATCGGTGAAGGGGGTAGGGGTGTGATCAGAGGGAAGGGTCTCAAGATCAGGAAGGCGACGCAGGTCATCATCCGGGACATCAGCATCGTGGACATCAACCCCCACGTCATCTGGGGCGGAGACGCGCTTGTCTTCAACGGCGTCGATCAGGCCTGGATTCACAACGTGACCTTCAAGGTAAGTAAACAAAGGCCGAAGTCTACGTCGGGTTGCCTTCGTATGGACTTCACCTAAACCCTCGTTGTTTCGCCCACAGAACATCGGCCGTCAGTTCTTGGTTACCTACCAGACCAGCAACACGGGCATCACCATCTCCTCGTGCACGTTCGACGGCGAAACCCCCAACTCCCCATTCTGCGACCACAAGCACTACTGGGTGTGGCTCTTCTGGGGCACCGATGACCGCATCACCCTCATCAACAACAAGGTCGTCAACACGAGTGGACGTCTGCCCCATGCTGGCGGCTACTCTACGGCCAAGGTAGCAACCAGCCCAACGGAACTAGAAGCGTCTTACTGCCGTCTCCACAGACTTACTCACTCTCCACACACGCCCTGATCCTTCCCTGTTGCAGAACTTCATCCACATCGTGGGCAACTACTTCGACATCAACTCCGACGTGGCCCTCGAGCCCTGGGACGGCTCATTCCTACTCGTGGAGGGCAACCGCTTCTGCGGCATGACCAACCTGGTCAACAAGCACGCCACCAACGGCAACCTGTTCCTAGTGAGCACCGAGAAGCAGGCGCAGCGCTGCGAGGCCGTCTTCGGCCAGCCCTGCCTGCCCAACCAGTACCGCCTGACGAACCCCGTGATGCGCTGCGACGCCCCCGTCCTCGAGGAGGCCCTGGGGATGCAGCTCTGCCCCGAGGCCGTCAACGACGCACGCCAGTCCGTCTGCGTGCCCGCGCCAGTCCTCAGCCCGGACTCCACGGGCATCCTCGAGTACTAGGACTA